AAATAGGAAGGACAGGGAGCTGGAACGAGGAGAAGGAGAAAAAAAAAGAGTTGAAATAATGTTAAAAATTAATGAGTAAAGCGATAAGCTGGTAAGCAGGCAAGGTGTTTGGATGTTAATGAATTGGGGAAATAAAAATTAGTTAAACTGTTAATACGTAAATAAGAAGATACTCACAATTATACATGGTGTTTGAGTTCCTTGTAATTGACAGTAGTTGATCAGCATCTACAGGCTTGCCAATTTGTCTGTCTACTAGAAATAAAAACTAAAACCGCTATGAAGATATGAAAATAATGATTGGAATTTAAAAGCAGAGAAAAGTCACGGTTAACACCTCAAAGGCGTAACCTATTGCCGTTAGTAGGAGCAGGGGGATTTGTCTACCATTTCATGATACATGTATGGGTGGTAATGAGAACACAATATGGTCATAGTCTATAATTAGTTTCTGAGGTTTATCTAAATATTTGCTGGACCATAAAAGAGTGCCTGGGGACCTTGTGTGAGTTCTGGGAATAGTCGATAAATCTCTTTAGAATCTAGCAACAACATGACTAGTTTCTTGAACTTAGTGATTGTGTCACAGATACGAATAGCGATTGGTAACCTGTTCCACAGTAGACTGTATCGTATTACAAAGAAATTAGAACGCAATGATTTTTTGTGTTTTGCCGTTAATAGTTAAGTTATCAAGATCAATCTGAATCTTAGCTATATTTTCGTCCAGATCTTCAGGCTTATAGCTGTATACTATTTTCAGATCATCAGCATATAAGTATGCTCTTCCAAATTTTATAGTATTACGTATGTCATTAATGTACATTAGAAACAAGAGTGGACCTAAGACACTTCCCTGGATAACCCCACTGGTTATTGGTCTTGGTGATGAAAGACAGTCATTGTACTTTATCATTTGTTGTCGTCCATTTAGGAATGAAGCTAACCATGAGTGCAGTGGGTTGATGATTCCGAATGACTTCAGTTTAAGTAGAAGCCTTTTGTGTGGGACTTTATCAAAAGCCTGTTTAAAATCGAAGAAGAGGACTGATACCAGAAGTCCTTTGTCTTGTTCATGTGTGATATTGTTGAAATAATCTAACAGACATGTATCACACGATCTGAACCTCAAGAACCCATGCTGTGAGGTCGATATCAGATTGTTACTAAGTAGATGTTGTAGTAACTCTGCCTTAACTATTTTCTCCATAACCCGAGATACTACTGAGGTTATGTTTATAGGTCGGTAATTTTCAACGTTCGCTGTAGGCCCCGATTTTATAGTGGGGATGATATGTGTAGTCTTCCAGTTATTAGGGTAACACTCTGTGGAGAGAGATATAGTAAATAGTTTGAGAAGAATAGCACTCAGATCATTGCTACCATTTTTCAGCATGCTGGCTGGGATGCCATCTGGTCCTTCAATGTAAGAGTGCTTCAGTGTACCAATCGCCTTAGAAATGTTCTGTATACTAAATTCAACACTGGCGATTTCACAGGAAGGAGTTTGGGTCAGATGTGACTCATTTATTGAGTTTTCGTTTGTTAATGTGGCACAAAAATGTTCGCTAAACAACTCTGCGATACTTTTAGGGTCGTCATACACTTCTTACTAGTAAAATCCCTCACTGTCATTGGTTAAAGGATTAACTTAGTATGCTATTTTTGTGGCTCTTCCAGCGTGTGTGCATATCAACCTCGTTTTTTCTGGGTGCTTGTTTGAAAGGAATATAGCTTTCCAGGATACCTGACGTCGGCCCGAGACTTCTTCTTTGGAATGCAGCCCGAAAGATCCTGGACTATTGGCGCCGACCCTATGTGGTTTTCCCGGACACTCTGTATCTTGATGAAGTGTGTCAGCTGGAGTTGAGGCCCCTTCAACGAAGAGTATGTGATCCAGTGCTGAAAGAGTACTGGACGCCCACTTACGTGGGATTAACCCTGCTTGGCTGAGTGCTTGCGCGTGGTCGAGTGCATGACATCTTTCTCACGGAACGGTGTAAGTTCCAGCTGACCTTGTGGGACAAATTCGATCTTTAGCTTCATGTGGGGTTCGGGGGCTTCAATCGATTGTATCAGAGCAAGGCAGTTGGAGGCCAGACGGTGGGAACGACTGCTGGTTAGTGCACTGCTGGGTGGCTCGGTAATCCGTCCCGGGGTCCAGCTGGGTAGGCCCGCCTTGCCGCTCATGCCGATTGGGGATTTTTGGAAGTGGATCTGTGGTGAGATCTTGCTGATTCATTAGTGCCCGAACGGGGGCCACTGTTAGTGTGCGTGCTGTTTGGACATCCGATTTGCTTGCTGGCCAAACTGGACAACATGTACTTTCCCAATTGGGGCATAGGTGATCACTAAAATGGCTACAATGAGAATCCTTGTGCTGCCTAAAAAGCAGCGATGTTTATGTGCAGCAGTCTTGTTGGTCAACCAAGATTTATTTTGGTTGCTCTTCTTTAGTTGAATAAAAACTATTGTCAATACTAATTACCAAGTCTTCTCAGGTAAAGACTTCATTATCAATAAGAAACCACTGTTAACCCATGTGATACAGAATTATTCAAGACTTATCCTAATCTGTGAGTTGATGGTTAAGAGACACTGTAGTGAAGCATTTTCTGGAGGTTTTCATGATGGCAAACAAATTCCTGATTACTCCAAGTGTTTTGACGAAGGATTTTTCTGCATTCAGTACTCCACCTAGATGAAATTACATCTTTATTTCTGCGCTGGTCAACAGCATGTGGCAAGCCGTGATAAAAGTCCTATCTCTTTAGCTCACGATAGTTTAAATGTAGTGCTAGCTGCAAATGAGCGTTTGTTATCTTGTGAAAGGACGTCCAAGTTAAAAATTTTATTTTCTTGATTCAACTTTTATTACTATTATTCCATGAAGACATCCCAAAAATACTTATACACCATGGACAAAGGCAGCTAGATTATTTTTTGAACTTTCTAGCCAACTGAAACGTCCATTAGGAATACATGATATCAACCTCATTACGGTACCTATTTATGAGACAGTATCATAACAAAGGAAACCGAATGCAAAGGCTGACACAGATTAACACTATAATTGCTTGAGAGTTTCACAAAAATATACCAAACACCATGAAGCAATTACAATCATATCATTTGGTTTACACAAGTTAGCCTCACACAGCTGAGTAGAAACCGGCTACTCTCTCCCCAATCTTCAAAGGAGGAGATGGAAAGGACCAAGCTTGTTATAGACCAGTCGCATTACTACTAATATTGTCAGACGTTATGGAAGGGCTGGTGGACGAACAAATGAGGGGGTACATGGATAAGAGTAAAATACTCCATGAAGCTCAACACGGGTTTCGCAAAGGCAGATCGTTTACATCTAATCTTCTCATTGCAGGAGACAGTTGGACATAGATTTTGGTCCGTAAAATAACGGTACACGTAGTATTTCTTGAATTTGCAAAAGCCTTTGACATAGTACCCCACGCAAGCCTCTTATTAATAATCTAAAATATTACGGAAATGGACTTCATCGACCCACTCGTATCTTGGCTCAGAAACTACGATGAGAATAGAGTGCGCGCGAGCTGGCGTGTATCCACATCAGTAGTTTCACAGGGGACCATCCTAGGCCCACTTCTCTTCCCAATATTTATTAAAGACCTTTTAGGCTCAGTTATGTCACCGGCAATGATCTACGCAGACGATGCGAATATCTGGTGGTCAATTAGAAGCGAAAAGGATTCGACTTAGCTCCAAAACGACCTTACATCTATTGAGTAATGGGCATTGAAAAACGATTTAGAACCCAACCAACTGAAGTGCCACGTCATGCATCTCCTGCCTCACATGATGCAAGCGATCTATACCCTCAATGGAAGTCCGCTCTCTAATGTTTCCTCAGAGCGCGATCTCGGTTCAGTAACCACAGAAAGCCTTCACACTAGTCCGAACTTTGTAGGGGACACAACCAATGCAAATGCATCTCTTCACTTTATGCGAAGACAACTTGGTGCTATCACCCCGCAATTATTCTTGACAATGTTCAAGACGTACGCGGGCCCATACCTGGAGGCTCACAACGTCATCGCACCCCCTCTGCTTAAAGGAGACATAAATCTCTTCGATTGAGTGTAGAGACAAACAACCACATGGGTGATAGGGTTGAAAAATAAAACTTACGAAGATAGACTACAGCTCCTGAGATTATTTCCACTGAGTTACAGGAGAATCAGAGGTGATCTGATTATGGCGTACAACATAAGAAGCACGCCTAACCATCCCAAAGTAAGCATCCTACATATGCATCAGCACCACTCCCCTCAAGGCAATCCTCGAAAGATCGCACATCAAAGAGCGGATACTCAGATTCGTGCACACTTTTTCTCATTGTGAGTGGTTGCAATTTGGAATGCTCTTCCAGCCGAGGTGACCACAACCCCCTCAGTAGAGAGCTTTAAGAAAAGACTTGATAATCACGTATTCACATACGGATTATCGTCTCCCTCTTGGACTAGTTGTTCATGATGACCTGCTAGTTGTTATTATTGCCATCTCCTCAGATCACCTACGTAATCCGTCTCGCTTCTCATCTCTGTTACTTCCCGTTGCTTACACTACAGTCCACTCTCACAATATTCACTACCAATTATTAAACTAAGTCACCTATATATCACTTAGTTCTAAAATTTTATTCACATTAACATTAGAATTTTATCCTTATTGTCCTTCACTGTGCAACTAACTGATATTCGGTCTGGTAATGTGACAGCTGCTGATACCCAGAAACATTACTTCTATGAGACGAACGTTTACATTCAAATCCCGAAACTCAACCAACTGCCAAATGACTAGAATTAGACACTCGAGTGGCTAGACCTCCATTCGTTGGAAACTACCGAACACTCAGGACCGTACTGAAAGAACAAGAATCGAGCTCAAAGAAATAAACTGGTTTACACTAGCTCGTGAAAAAGATATTAGGTATTGAATATTGAATTGTTGTCTACGCATACTGTACACTGTGTTTCAAGGCCGGAAAATTCTCAAATTTCAAATGTCTACAGACGGCTCTGCCAAGGACAGCAAAGCTGATTACTTGAGACGCTACCTAGAACCAGGTGGTAGTAAGAAGAAACGTAAAGCAGTTAATGACATTACAGTAAAATACATTTCGTGAGTTTTAAAAATAGGTCTGATTTTTATAGTGCACCATGTTCAATATCCAGACTATAACAAAATAGTTTGTTTTCCAAGTTCAGAAACCTCCAGCCAGCTGTCTTACTGATATATAATATGGGAAGAACAATATCACTCAATTTCTATGTGTCTCTTATCCCCATGAAACGTGAGTTCAAGTAGGAAGGTTGGCCGCTGTTCAAGGAACAAGTTTGGTGAACTTCTGTCATACTTTTATATTCAGCCTTACTTAGTATTATGTTGACCCTCTAACGTTAATAGTATGGATTCCACAGTTGGGAGACAAAATGATGTATGAGTTTCCTTTTGGTCAGTAGCTGCAATTGGACTGCATCTTCTGACCGTATTATTCTCCTTTGTGAAATAGACACCTAAGTTAAAAACTCAAGCAGCTTGTCCCTGAGGTCTTTTTTTTCGTTTCGGCCATCTTCGCAGTACCCCATCATATATACTAATCTTTTGAATTCCTCATAAATTTGGAAGGAGAAAGATATTCTCTCTAAAGTTATCTCACTGTATTATATTTGTTGAATAATTTCCTCGAACCCTAATCTTCATTACCGCTAATACTGCTACTACGTCTACCAGGATGGGATTTTAATTGACATTTGCGGTAATGCGGTATGGCAACCTGAACTTATGTACGTACGTACGAAGTTTAACGTAACTGACTGACTATTTAGTGAGGCACACCATATTTTGTGTCCAGTCGTACTTGATTTTATAGAAATCAAACAAACTAGTATACCAATACTGCTGAGAAGTCAGTCAATGCTATGCTTAGTCCTATTAGTATTATCGTAGTAGCTAGTTTTCCTAAGATTTCACTGAGTGTAGTTTTCGAAGTGGAGGCAGGCTGTATTGAAGCTTTATATTTTCAATGTCAATAAGATGTGCCCGTAAGAAAGCCTTATTCAAAAGTTTTTTTCACACTGCCGTGTCTGTTGATCCATCAGACTTTAAAACTGTAAACTATCAAGGAGCTGTATTGACCTCAACCAAATGTCGTGTGTGATATCAATACCTTTTGCATTAAATCACTATAATAACTCAGTTTGCCTTCAACTTCAACCGAATCCAACTCTCAATTAAACATTGGCGAGTTCAATCTGTCATTCTGTATAATCTGTTTAATATTTGAAAGAAATATTTCTAATAGGTTTCTAGTTGTCTTATCTTGTAAGTCATCTTTCGATTGTATTCCTATGCGCATTCTAAACAGTAGTCATTCCGGTTTCTTCGTCATTTACGGCAAACAGTTATGGCTTGGGGAATTCAAAACATTTTCACACTCCCATTTAACTGAGCACAATTCTGTAGTCATGTCATATCACAATAATACAATGGTCTAACGTTCCACGGTCTTTTGATTTACTGGAAACTCAAAAGAGATTGTTTAGTTTAACTCGTTACGATCCTGTCATCCAAATACTTATTCTTTGAAATAATACGAACGTACACCAACATCGTGTGACCATATTTTTGTTTGACGTTTCACAGGACGATTGTGTAGTTTGGTCTGGTTTGGAACAGTGGTTTATCTCCAAAGTCTTCATTGTTTATTGTCACCCTACTCGCAAATTAAGTTGACAATTCAGTACGTCTATGTATTTAACTCGTGGCTAATATGCTTTTTCCATTGTTTTTATTTTTTTTAGTGGTGATCTCCCTGAAACTTTAGATGCATTCTATAAAACAGATCCGGATAGTTTTGAATTTCCAACAGATCCATCATTTGTAGAACCATTACCAACAGTAGTTCGACAAGCAACTTTATTGAAAGATAAAAAACTTAAACAAGAAGATAAATCTAAGAAAGAAGCAGAATTAGAAGCCAGATATGATATATGGAATAAAGGGTATGTGTTTAACTTGATTGTTTAAACAATATTAACCTTTTTTCTGTTTGTTTCTAAAAACAGCATTAAAACTCTTGAAGAAACTTATAATAAACTTAAAGAACAAGAATATGAAAGTTCCAAACCACTAGCACGATATGCTGATGATGAAGATCTAACGGAACATTTAAAATCACAAATACATTCTGAAGATCCAATGGCACAATATTTTATTCAGAAATCAAGTAAACAGAAACACAAAAAGAAAAGTCATAAGAAGAAAAAACACAAACGTGAGTCCATATGAATCAATTTCAATGTAATTACAGGATGTATCCATTTTTATTTTTGTGTGTGTGGCTATTTGTGCTAATTTCTGTGAAACATGGCCAGTAAGAGTGGAGGATATTCGTAGGCTATTAGTATTCGATCATGTGTCTTCGATGCATTGCTTGTATATCGTGGGACCACCAAGTAAGCAATGCAGATATTAAGAAACGGATACTAGGTAAGGATGACAGATCAATTGATGAAGTATTGAAACTTCATCAGTTAAAGTGGGTAGGACAAGTGTTACAAGTGTCCAACCACCGACTGACTTGATGAGCGATGTTTTGTTGTGTTGGAGTCGGTTGGAAGAAAGCTAAGGGTAGGTCTAACTAATACATGGCATAGATCCATAAAGTCACTGACAACTGGACGGAGCCATGTTGGTAAATGTAGACTACCTGGTTGGTGTCCGCGAAACAATAGTAATCGATGGTTAGAGACCTAGAATGACATGGCGCTAAACCGTTTGCAATGGCACAGGTTCATATATTCTTTGTGTTCTTTCAAATTCCAATCTAATCTCCTCATGACCATCTTTCTCTTCTCAAACCTATTTCAATGTATTATACTCCTTGAGTAATATCTTCGGACCGTAATCTTTCCGATAACTGCTCATATTTCTACTATCTCTACCACTATGGTATTTGAACCGCCAATTTCGTCTTTGTGTGCTAATGTTGTATAACAGCTTGAACCATTGTATGTATGTACGTACGTACGAAGTTCTACATTGTAACTGACTGACTGAATTACCGAATCCTATATTAAAAGGAGTATAAACTGCTCAATCCATTCTCGTATTGAATTTTTTTATTGTAACATTTCAGTCTGGAACTTTTTTTTGTAATCTCTGTCAGTCATTCCCAACTACATTAAAATCGATAACCTATTTATGGAATCATGTTGAATCTTGATGCTAAGGTGAACTGTATGCTTGTGAAAAAGTTTTTAAACCAAGGTAATTATTCACAACTATATATTAGCACTACTACTGCACTAACTTCAACCAAAAGTCGATAACTTCCTGCACTGATTGCCACATTTTGATCAAATCAACTATCACATCCCCGATGGTTGACTAGTGTCAGGAGACCAATTCCAAATACCAATAAAAGTTATGCCTTAATCCCGGAAACCTTGAGTCAAATTCTAAATCTTTATTGGTTCACCACAAATTGATAACTGGTTTCTTTCTGTCCTGCCTCTCTTAGACCAAAAGTTCATAGGTCAACCTCCACAAAATCTTGTTATAGTTCAAGCAAACAGATTTAATATATAAAACAAAGCAAATAACACCATACGATAAGAAAACACATTTATACATAAGCAAACCAAAAGTAGCTGTAAACAGTAGGCAAATCAATAGATGAAGTAGTGAAACTTCATCAGTTGAGGTAGTTGGGACACGTGTTACGTATGGCTAACGACCGACTGCCGCGACGAGCTATGCTTTGTGGTGTAGGAGTAGATTGGAAGAAAGGTAGGGGCGGCTAGACGAAAACATGGCAGAAATCCATGAAGTCACTGACAAGTGAACCGAGTTATGTTTGTAAGTGTAGGCTACCTGGTTGGTGTCTGCGAGACGAAAGTAACCAATGGTTAGAGACCTTGAATGACATGGCTCAGAATCGTTTGCGCTGTCGCAGGTGCATCCACTCTTTGTGTTCTCTCTAATTCTAACCTTCTGAATTCCTCATAATCTCTACCTTTCTCCTTCTAAATTTATTTTACTGAATTATACTTCTCGAATCATATCTTTGCTACCTAATCTCCATTGCTGCTAATAATTCTACTTTCGCTATCACACTTGGATTTGAACTAACAGTTGCGTCTCTGTGCTGATGGGGCATGGCAACCTGAACTGATGTACTTACGTGCGAAGTTCTGCGTTGTATCTGTCTGTCTCTAATAATAGGTAGTGGTTAAGAATGATAAATAATCTTATATCAGTAATTGATGAACGAATCGGAGAGTTATAATAACAGGCAGATAAATAT